AGCAGCAGCAGCAGCAGGAGTCTGACTGACTGATGGAGATCAACATGCACTAAGTAATCACTCCCCTCCCCCCGCGGGACAAAACACACCAAAAACATTCCCACAGTGGGTTCTCTTCACTCTAAAAACTCCCAGGTGTTTGTAGCTTCGTGTGATATGTTTAAGTCTTTGTTTCTCTTTCTTTCTCTCTCTCTCTCTCTCTCTCTCTCTCTCTGTGTGTGTGTGTGTGTGTGTGTGTGTGTGTGTGTGTGTGTGTGACAGGAAATTAAAGCATCACAGCTCAGCCGATCACACTGTTTGATGATAGTTTTGTAGGTGAGTCACCCGGTGAGTCACGGTCGTACTTCTGCAGTCTCAGCACTGACATTTCCAGACAAGTTTCACTTTTGATCCATAAATTTAGAGATAAAAATTGATTTTAAAAATTAAATTAATAAGAAAAAAGGAGTTTGAATTGTGCTGTAGCTGTACCCACCACGGAATTTAATGAGGAATCTCTTTAGTCTGTTAACTACACTTTGTTTTTTGTTTTTTTAAAGCAGACATGGATTGAAAGATTTTAGAGGTTTTAAAAAGCCTGAAATAAATAAAAATGAGTCGGAGTACTCACATCTGAGCTGGAGGATGATGGAGATGATCTGACAGAGGGTGAGGCTGGACCTAAACCGAGGAGGAGGACTTCTGTTCTCTGTCTGATGTCTTCATTCACTTTTTCTCTTAAAACACGTAGAAAAACTACAACTGAAGCAGCTGCGCACAGACCGAAAAAACCTTTCGCGTCAGACACAAGTCCCGCCCCTATGCGCGCACACGCACGCATGCCCGCTTCCTCTGTCTCTCAGTTAATCCCAACACAAACCTGACATCATGGGTTACGTTTGAGCATTTGAAACATGCATTTCTGGATTTTTATTATTGTTATTATTTTAATTTGACTTTTTCAGGAGTAAATTTAAACGTCACATCATCAGCCTGCGGTCCATCAGCTCCACCGCAGCCACTCCAACAAATCCTAATTCATGTTTTTTCAGTAAAAACTCGGGACTGAACGTGACTCTGAATAACAGACTTTGTGTGGTGGCAATAAATACTATAAAATACCTGATATTTCATGTTTGATCAGGCTGGGAAGATTCTAAGAACATTTTTTCTCGTGCATAAAAAAATTATTTGTGTGTGTAAATTACAGCTTATTTCATATATTTAAAAATTTCTTTAAAAATTTCTTTCTCTTTCTCTCTTTATGTTACAATAATTATTTTTTTTGTTATTTTGTGACTTTTTTCATAAGCCCACAACTTTTTCTTATGAATTTTTGACTTTGAGTTTTTTTTTTAATTAATACACGTTATTGTTATTTTTCCTGGATTTCTTCTTCTTTGTACTTTTTGAAGTTGCCACATCCTCTTCCCAGATTTTTTTTTTACCACAATTTTAGCCTTTCTCATGTTGTTTTTCCCTCATGAGTTTGTGTTGACAAAATTTAAGCATTTTGTAAATAGTTTTTCCATAACTCATTTGCATGTCACCACAGATTGGAGCGGTGTTAGGTTCCTTCTACACTGACTGAAACACAGTTATGTTCCCTTTGTACAAATATATTTGAAGAATTAAATGTTTTACAGAATTCAAGCTGTGTGCAAAACAGTAAAGTTTTCATGTCTGTGGTATGTTAGCTGAAGGTAGCGTGGGTTGTCACCTGACCAATACTGAGCAAAGTGAGGTGAAAATCAAACGCCCCTCCGTTAATCAGACGTACAGGTGGGGTAACTGTTTCCTGCTGCTTCTGTTTGGTTTGACTGCAGCGAGGTATCCGGTGTTTTCTGTCCTCGGCGTCTTTATGTGAGTATTTAAATGTCTTTTTCTGCTTTTCCTTTTACTCACACTGTGCGGCATAACTGCGCTCTTTTTCTGGATTTTCCGATTTTTTTTCCCCACATTTTTCTAAAGTCGAAAATGTTGGGTTTAGATTTTCAGGTGGCTGTTTTTTTGTCACTCTTCAGCAAAATTGCGTGATTTCTTAACTTTAAAATGGTTCATTTTTACCTTCATCTCCACTGGTTTCTGTGCTTTTCCCCCCTGGACTTTGTGCACACTGCACAGCATTGTAGTGCATAGAGTGCATAGCTATTAGAATAATTTCCACTTGATTGATTTCTTTTTTGAATGGAAAAGTTCTGCAATGGCAAACACCAAGAAAAAGAGCAAGTCATGAGTGGATCCTGCTTTTGAACTTTGGGCTTGTAAAGACAAACTGCGATGTCTCTGAAGGAGTGAAACGTCTAATCTGAATACAAAGCATTTATTTTTTAAGCGTGTGCTTCTCTATACACATTTCAGACTAACAGTACAACTGATTAGTGTTTAATTTGAATACATGTAATTTCAGCCCAGTTAATCCACTGAGATCAGACACTGAGATCAGACTTGTGTAAGCAAATTATATCAAAAGCAGTCCTCTCATCCAAAACACTTCTTCAGATCTAAAACCTGAAGGAGAAACCAGGTATTTTCTGGTGAGGTTGTGACCTTGGACATCCGCACAGCTGCTGTCATCGTGTAGATCAGGGTGTCAGGATGTGACTTTCATCTGTAAAAGGCTCTGTGGATGATGATAGCAGGTGTTGTAGCCCACCTCCTCTGTTCACTAACACGAACAGCCAGAAAAAACACCAAATGTTGCACAGCGGATAATAAAGTGACGACAAAACTTCCTCTAAATGGAAGAACAAACGGCGTGAAAGACAAAGATAACTTGGAAAAGTTTCGTACTGAGAGTCGATCAGAACAAAAGAGGAAGTTTAAAAAAATTCTCGAGCTTTTTGAATTGATGAAGTTTTTTTATATGAATATGTAAAGTTTGTTTGTGTAGAAGTTTATTAAAACAAAACCTTTCATTGATGAGTGAACAGAGTAGCTACATGGGAACAAAACCAAAGAATTATGTTTCTTCAAAGTATTTTATTCTGCTCATCTTTTCATTTCATCAAACATACATACAGCTCTGTGCACCACACACTCAAACCTGAACCCCTGACAGCTCAAACACTCCGTTCATAGGTTTTCCTACAAATGGCTTCATCCTTCAGCTCAATTATTTGCTTTTTCTTTTTCATCCGAGTCACACTTTCATTCCTGTGTTTCCTGAAATGTTTAAATTCACGTTTCTCTCTCCACAGATTCCACTTACATTCAGATAATATAGATATGAAGCACTCGGCTAACGGAGCGTCTGCACTGTTTCCTATGGTGAGTGATAGCTTTGCTTTGAACGATAGCAGTTTGTTGCTTTGTTTTCTCATCATTAAAGGAACAAAATGACTCTTTGCCCATTTCTCTCCCTGCACTGAGATCACATAAAAGAACAAAGATTTTAAATTGGATGTTTTTGATGTGCTCAGTGAAGAAAACTGGAGGTCAGGCTGTTCCTTTAATGGGTCTGTTTTTTCTCTGGTGAATATGGCCGGTTACTTAACAAGCAGACATTCAAGTAATCAAAGATGTGATGACATTTGAAGGAGTGAAAACATTCAAAGCATCAGCAAAGACAGAAGCACGCTCATATTTAAAGTCGTGATGAGGACTCTTTTCCTGCAGCATCCTGTACACGTTTGTTTCTTTTTGCTTTGAATCACATCTGGAGGCCTTTTTGCTCGACTTTTCTTACTTTACACCGATGCAGGCTTTATTGCTGAGACACTAACATTAGGTCTGATTTAGCTGAGAGCAACAGCAAGGCCACAAAAACCCACAAAAATAAAGTAAAAAATATGAATCGTTTCAGCCAAATTTACACCATGAAGCTTCCAGCAGCAGTACAACTTCAGCATTGGTATGTACATTAATTACAGTGTTTGTCCTTTACAAACTGTACACAGATAAACAAATAAACCAGAGTGACTGATCCTCATGTATGTCCCACCTAATGTGGCATCTTCATCTTTAAGACAAAATACCTCCCGATCCCAGAAAATCAAAGGCAAAAATAACATTTGTATTACACCTATTATTGCCTTGTTAATTAACAGTATTAAGAATAAATAACATAAAAAAAGGGAGTGTTACCTAAAGTGTAAGATTAAAGGGGGCCTTTTTCAATCATTTCCAGCTCTGTATTTGTTATTCTTGGGCTATGTCAGAGTAGCTCTGCATAATTCAGTTGATAATAATCCTTATTTGTCTCTTGTAGCTCCTCCCCCTATTAGCCAACCGTCTTCTGATTGGCTGCCCCTCATAAAAAGACATACAAGTTAAACTGTGAACTGTGTGATAGGCTTCTGTAGGAGATATCAGGATATCCTCTCTCTATGACATCATACAGATCCACGAGTAGAAAAAAAAAACTGTCAGTCTAAACTTTAGTCCTGCGGGGATTACGTGGACGCCCTGATTTAAAAACATGTTTCATGTGAGCATTTGTTTAGGTCCATTTTAACATTATCCTAAAAATACTGAACTAATTCCAGATAGAATCTTAACACAGACACCAAAATACGTGGAAATGTACATTTTGCCACATTATTTAACTTAAAAAATATTTCTTCAAGACTGAGGTTTAAAAATGGCATTTCCACAATAAATCAGTTTAACTGTGATTTAACCTGGTTTTTAAAAACAGTATTACTGTCATAATATAAGAGTTTACCTTTTAGCATCACATCATCTGTAGAAAATGTGAGAAATCTAAATGGCATTTACTGTCAAACCGATCCTGTTTGCACCGTTTTGATGTTTTCAAACTGAGATGGATCTGGAGGCGAGAGAGAGGTCTGAAACCACAACTGTACAAAAGCTTACAAAACCCCCAAATTATCTATATTACTACATGTATATCACTACACAGTATCAAAATCTGTTCAAATATCACGGCTGATGTTACGCCGAGAGGAAAATGAAGTATTTTAACTCCAAACTGTAGTAAGGATCAGTTTTTACAGACAAACCAGGAGCAGAGCTTTTAATAAACTTCAAATTCAAGAAGAAGTACATATCAATAAATATTGTGAAGGTTAAACCTTCAAAATGCCCCCACACCAAAAAAAGTCCTGGAAATCGGTTTAAGGCGAGCTGGTCTTTCACTGGATTTTTGTCTTGACTACAGTTAGAAAGAATCAAATTAAACGTGAGCTTTAACATTTTGAAGCTGCTGCTAATGTCAGTGTAATATAAAACCACTGCACTTTAATATGGAGCTGGAACAGTGAGCTGTGCAAACTGCTTTCTTTCTGCATTACAGCCTGTATGTGCGTCCTTTTAATCCTGCAGCGTTAGAGACATTTTACAAACAACGGTTTTGGTGAGCTCGGTGTGCAAATACAATAATGTAGCTCACAGGCATCTCATCTTTTCTTTAAAGTGCGGTAAAGTTTTGACCTCCAGATGTGCAGTTACAGCTGGTAACCATGTGAGGGCAGCACTCGCACACTCTATTACTATTGCTGCTTTTTTAATTAAAATGACTTCATATACTATAACTAATATTGCAAAGAAACTACAGGTTCATCAGTAAGGAGAAGCTCTTCTTCCTCAAAGCAGTAAAAACCTCCACGCTTGGCTCTGAATCTCCGGCTGCCATGTTGGCCTGACTTTACGATCAGTAAAAATCACACTGGAGACTTAAAATGTGACAGAAATCACAGAGACATGATTTTAGACGTGTGGAAGCTCTGCATTGTTCTTCCTCAGAGGAAGCGTGTATTAGGGTTTCCTCCAGGTCAGAGGTGGGATGGCGGCGTTGACGCCGCAGCAGGAGTCGCTGATCTCAGAGTCGGCGGGGAGCGCCGGCTTCTTCCTGTCCTTCTCCTCGCTGTCAGAGTCATCCACCGTCAGCGAGATGAGCGAGGTGGACTTCCTGTGATGAGGATATGAAGTTAATGCAGGTAAATTACAAAAAGCTGCACCTGCGACACCTTTTCACCCTGCCCTCCCTGTGACCCTTGGTAGATATTTTTTGTGCGTTTCCTTGTCAGCTCATCAAAAACCCAACCTGACCGTCGCAGGTTTGCCCGAGCAAACCTTACCAGCACAATTTCAGGATGAAGGTAGAGACCAGGTCCTTCAAGCCAAATGGTATTATTGCTCTCTGAATATAAACCCTCAGGAGTGGAGCTGAATCAAACACAATGACAGATTATTGAGTTCCTTGAAAATATTTTGATATCTCATCCCAGGACAGCAGATTAACAGGCCTGTAGAAGCCATAGTTTTGCAGGAAGAGGGCTGATATTTACTTACAGCTTCTCATAAACACAGTACATAATATTCTTTAAATCATCGTGAAGGCGTCACAGATTTCAAACCTTAAATATATGAGGGGAAAAAAGTTCAAGACACGCTTAGTTCCCAGTTTATTAGCAGCACAATGCTAAAAAGACTGCAGTGCAATACCAACATCCTCCCTAAATACAGTGGGGCAAAAAAGTATTTAGTCAGCCACCGATTGTGCAAGTTCCCCCACTTAAAATGATGACAGAGGTCAGTAATTTGCACCAGAGGTACACTTCAACTGTGAGAGACAGAATGTGAAAAAAAAAATCCATGAATCCACATGGTAGGATTTGTAAAGAATTTATTCGTAAATCAGGGTGGAAAATAAGTATTTGGTCAATAACAAAAATACAACTCAATACTTTGTAACATAACCTTTGTTGGCAATAACAGAGGTCAAACGTTTACTATAGGTCTTTACCAGGTTTGCACACACAGTAGCTGGTATTTTGGCCCATTCCTCCATGCAGATCTTCTCGAGAGCAGTGATGTTTTGGGGCTGTCGCCGAGCAACACGGACTTTCAACTCCCACCACAGATTTTCTATGGGGTTGAGGTCTGGAGACTGGCTAGGCCACTCCAGGACTTTCAAATGCTTCTTACGGAGCCACTCCTTTGTTGCCCGGGCGGTGTGTTTTGGATCATTGTCATGTTGGAAGACCCAGCCTCGTTTCATCTTCAAAGTTCTCACTGATGGAAGGAGGTTTTGGCTCAAAATCTCACGATACATGGCCCCATTCATTCTGTCCTTAACACGGATCAGTCGTCCTGTCCCCTTGGCAGAAAAACAGCCCCATAGCATGATGTTTCCACCCCCATGCTTCACAGTAGGTATGGTGTTCTTGGGATGCAACTCAGTATTCTTCTTCCTCCAAACACGACGAGTTGAGTTTATACCAAAAAGTTCTACTTTGGTTTCATCTGACCACATGACATTCTCCCAATCCTCTGCTGTATCATCCATGTGCTCTCTGGCAAACTTCAGACGGGCCTGGACATGCACTGGCTTCAGCAGCGGAACACGTCTGGCACTGCGGGATTTGATTCCCTGCCGTTGTAGTGTGTTACTGATGGTGACCTTTGTTACTTTGGTCCCAGCTCTCTGCAGGTCATTCACCAGGTCCCCCCGTGTGGTTCTGGGATCTTTGCTCACCGTTCTCATGATCATTTTGACCCCACGGGATGAGATCTTGCGTGGAGCCCCAGATCGAGGGAGATTATCAGTGGTCTTGTATGTCTTCCATTTTCTGATGATTGCTCCCACAGTTGATTTTTTCACACCAAGCTGCTTGCCTATTGTAGATTCACTCTTCCCAGTCTGGTGCAGGTCTACAATACTTTTCCTGGTGTCCTTCGAAAGCTCTTTGGTCTTGGCCATGGCGGAGTTTGGAGTCTGACTGTTTGAGGCTGTGGACAGGTGTCTTTTATACAGATGATGAGTTCAAACAGGTGCCATTCATACAGGTAACGAGTGGGGGACAGAAAAGCTTCTTACAGAAGATGTTACAGGTCTGTGAGAGCCTGAGATTTTCCATGTTTGAGGTGACCAAATACTTATTTTCCACCCTGATTTACGAATAAATTCTTTACAAATCCTACCATGTGGATTCATGGATTTTTTTTTTTCACATTCTGTCTCTCACAGTTGAAGTGTACCTCTGGTGCAAATTACTGACCTCTGTCATCATTTTAAGTGGGGGAACTTGCACAATCGGTGGCTGACCAAATACTTTTTTGCCCCACTGTATGTATACCCAATAAAAAGTCTGGTATTGCTGCTGTCCAACCAGAGGTCAGCATCTGTCATTTCTATGGATACGTTCCAAACGTAGCACCAATCTCCTAATCTCTTTTTTTGCCCTTGATAGAAACACCAAAGAAAGGTGGGAAAGGGAATTTATGACTTTGGAAAAGAGAAGATCGGCGTGCTGAGAATCTGAACTAGCTCACACTAACACCATGACACTGGACGTCTGCCATAGTAAAACTACAATACCCAGGTCTTTGTTCAGCATGAGCTCTAGCCTGGTGTTTTGCACAGGTCATGTAAACAAGCACGACCAGTGAATCTAATAGAGTGTGTGTGTGTGTGTGTGTTACCTGTCTCCACTCTGTGTGATGAGCCTCCTGCAGGTCTCCATCTGGACATCCAGGCCTCTCTTCATTGAACACATCTCCATGTACTCGTGCAGGTGGCGGTTCATGTCGCTCTTCGCTGTGGCCAGTTCCAGCTGATGACGCACAGAGAGGCAGAAATGCTGACATTCCCACTGCTGTTTCATGACTGCTGCTAACTTTAAGGGGATCTTATTCTGTCTTTTCTTAAGTTTTAGTTGTGGTTATTTTAGCTTTTGGACAGTGAGGGGGAGACACATGCAGGCGATGTGTGGCAGGTCCCTGCAGCAGGGACAATTATAGGTATGAGAGTTGCCTCCAGCTCACTGTCCTTCTTCCCTTATTTAACACGTCCAACAGCACCTGACCTTCTCACCTCGATCTGGTCGATGGTCTCCTGGTATTCCTTCTCTCTGGATTTGAACAGAGACTCCGTGTCTTTGATCACTTCCTCAATGGACTCCTCCTGCAGAGAAAAAAGAAAAACGAAAAAGTCCAAGTTTGCTTCAGGTTTGACATTTTTCAGGGTCAAAGTCCAAATGTGAAAACTAGTCAACAGTCTCAATATATAAAGGAGTAGAAGATAATAGAAATAATAATAATATAAAATAATAAATATTGTTTTTCTGTGTGAAACTTTGACAAACGGCTTCTAGGTGCAATACTGCCACCCTGTGGCACTAGCAGGTCATTACACATTACAAAGATCATTACAAAGATAAATAAACCTTTTCTTTCAGAACTTAATGACTATTTCAAAATCAATACTGTCCCTGCAGGAACCCCAAAATATTAAGCACACAGCTGTTCATGGCTGAGCCTCCTGTGAGTGCTCAGCCAGACGTGTTTCCCTCTTTGAGATTTAACTGCATTAGATTAGTTCTGCTTCTAATAATCAGCCAGTCACAGCGTGAAGGCTGAGCACTCTTTAGAACCACTGCTCTGCATTATTTTAATTATAATTAAGATTGAAATCACCAACAAATATATTTGAGTCAATATTGAAACAAAAAAGCAAACTGAATTTATTAGCTTCTATTAGCTGTGACCATCAGATCCTTAAAGGAGAGGTCAGAGGTCACACTTACAATCTTTACACACTACTTTCTAATGTATAAGTGGACAGTAAATGCTACACGTGTAAGAATAATTTCTTTTTGTCCATTTTCAATCAATAAATCAATGAGTTGACCTTGAAGAGCTTGAAGGACGTAAGCCAGATTTGAATGGATTTTTAACATGACCCTCCTCTGGACACCGAAGTTTTATTGAATCCACCTACAGCTTTTTGAGCTCTCATGTTTACAGACAGAATGACACTCAAAAAAGAACCTCATTGACTAATAAAAAGAATAATAAAAATAATAAAAATAATAAAGGGATAATAAAAGAACTAGAAAGCGAAAATTTCGGAAGAAATTTTAAGTGTGCCTATGCCGCCGCTAATCAGTGTAGTTTGCCATTCAAACGGATACCGAGAGCAAAACTCAGCAGAGCAGCCATTCTCCACCATCAACTATGGTAAAACCAAACACCGCTCGCGCCTCACAGATGACAGCTTACAGTTTTGTGTAAAGATGAGGTGACTTCGTACAGCCCCAGACGCTGTGCACAGAGGTTCATAAGCAGACCCGACAATGTTTGCATGAACACGCTTTGAAGCATTGGGTTATGGACCACTTTTCACACATAGTTGCTGTACCCAAAAAAGCCGGCTGTAGCTTTTCATCTCACAGCCCGACACATACAAAAAAAAAAAAAAACCGAGAGAGCACAGACTTTACGCCTGAGAGGCGTGATTGCAGATGCCGCTGAGGTGGGTCCACCTCCCCTGCAGCGGCACTGCAGACCACGGCCTGCCACACACATCAAACACGTAAAATAAATATTTATGCACTTTTCATTCACTTTTTGTTTTTTGTTATTTTTACACAGTGTTCTGAATGATTAACAATGGTCTACAGCCAATCTTGTGTATTATTATACAAACTTTGGTTGTAAGATTCAGATAACTATTTAATAAAAGCTAAATATTTTATATGAGAGCAAGAAAGAAAAGTATATCTTTGTGTCCCCCTCTCCCTGTTAATGCCCTACCTGGCCCCCTGGCAAAAGCTTTGCTAGATCCGCCCCTGCACAGTTACCAGCTGTCAGCTACACAAAAAAAGGATCCTGGTGTTATTTGTCTCTCAGAAACAGTTCATAACTTCCCACGCAGTACAGTTATTGTAACTGTCAGCACAACGAAAATAAACCACACCTAAACTCTGTTTATATCTGACCCAAATAGAGTGCAGTTCATAACTTCTTACCTGAAATTCAGCCTCACGCTCCGACCGGCAGCCGCCTGCTTCTCCTGCTTTCGGTTTCCCTTATCCACGATTGAGCTCCGCGTTAGCCACCACCGGTCGATCCGCGGCCGCCTCGCATGTTTCTTTCCCCGCATACGAGGGGAAAGAGACATACACCGGTGGCTAGCTGCCCTCTGTTGTAGCTCCGCGTCAGCCACCACCTCACGCTCCTGCCTTCGGTTTCCCTTATCCACGACTGAGCTCCGCGTTAGCCACCACGAAACAACTCAGTTATTTTTCCTGCATCGACCAGCATCTGGACAACCACCTATCACTGTTTATACCGTTACTAAAACGAATAAATGAATTATCGGCCCATATAAACGAAAAATAAGTCCAGCTGAAAAACAGTCTCTTGGTGAGCGATCGGGTGGTGAAACGAGTGTCAGCCACCTCACTGTAAGCCAAGCCCGGGTGCTTTTGAGCGAAGCAGCGCTAGCCGCGCTAGCTAGCCGGCTAGCAGCAACATCGTGAGAAAACTGTTGCTAATATGGGATGTTTTGACAAAACGAGCAGATATTTGACGTTTACACACCTACATTCTCATCTGAAAATATCTTAAAAGTTTATTTTGTGACCTAGAAACACAAATAAGAGGAATATATTAAACGAAATGGTGGCCGCCATTGTTTGACTCGGTAGAGGCGTGCTATGAATTGTGGGATATGGAGTTTTCCACCAAGCATACACCCTTGCGGTTACAGTAACTATTCAATGGTTCGCGCAACCTTAAAACTTCCAATGGTTCCTGAAAGCAGCGACGCTGTGTGCGCCGTTGATATTCTCGTCATTACGGTAATCCAAATACGGGTAGACAGGCCGTACCACTCCCGACATACCACTAGAGAGAGCCAACACACCACAAATGAAGTTTGAAATCTGTTTCTATGGGGCCAAAAGTTGAATCTTTCTCATGGGCCTAGAAACAGTGGCGTGTCTAGAAAATTTTTGTTGGGGGGGCCAGGTAGGGGCACAGATTTGGAGAAGGGTGGCAGATTTAATTGGCAGATAATGTTTAAAAAAAAAATTCTACCAACCCTTAACCATAATTCAATAATCCTATAAACCTAATAACCAAATGCACTTTTAACTCTTATTAGAATGAGATTTTAACCACTACGGTGCAAAGTTTTTAGATACTGCGTTGATAAAGTACAAGAGATACAATCAGTGCTTTGTCAGTGCTTACTCAGCATTCAAGGACAGCAATATTTGCATAGCATTTTTACTGACATATAGTGCACATATGTTTTGGGCAAAAACATTTTTGAAAATTAAAATACGAACATTTGTAACAAACAATTGACAAATTAGCCATTCCAATGCAAAACTTTATCTGCCTGTTAAAAAAAGAAGATAATCTTCTCACAAACTGGTGTTTGATTTTGAAACAGGAAAAAAGTGGGGAAACAAATGAAAAGACTAACATTTGAATAAAACCTGAAAGCAAGTAAATACTTTCTATGCTGCCTTATGGTAAACTTTGGTAATATTGATAAAGAACAACACTGGCTGATGATAAAATACAGTCAGCTGGCATGGTGACACTGCCAGTATTAACCTGCAGGGCTGGACTGGGACAAAAAAATTGGGCATTTTTACTACAGACCGGCCCACCAGGTAGTAAAGCCATAAAGCCTTTGAATGAAAACAAACCCTGTTGTGACAGTGATGTACAGTCTTGTTGGTATATGTATGATTTCTATACATTTTACGTCAGATAAAAACTTTGGTTGTAAGATTTAGATAATTATTTAATAAAAACTAGGTATTTTAAATGAGAATAAGAAAGAAAAGTATTTCTTTGTGCCCACCTTTCCCTGTTAATGCCCTACCTGGCCCCCTGGCAAAACTTTGCTAGACCCGCCCCTGCACAGTTACCAGCTGTCAGCTACATAAAAAAGGATCCTGGTGTTATTTGTCTCTCAGAAACAGTTCATAACTTCAACTCATTCATGTCACCTAAAAGGTAAACCTGTTTCTCCATCACCTGTTCAGCTCTGATGGTTCAGTAAGGACATCTCCTGGTTTCATCTTCATGTTTCCCTCTCACCACATATCTAAACAGACATCATGACCAGCAGCTTTACAGCTGTGGCTCCAGCAAACATCAGCTGATACTAGAAATTAATATTAAATACATTCTAACAACAGCTGATCAAGCTTAAACGTGCTGCTGTTGTTTAGCGCAATATCCGCTGGTTTCCTCTTTCTGGCGCAAAGTGGGCGATAAACAAACAAGAGAGAAAAGCCGATCAGCTGATCATTGATCAGTTTCATGATTGAAGTAGCAACAGGAGAGGGAGGGGGAGAGAATGAGAGAAGAGCCAGCTGTGCAGCGTAAGGACAGAATAAATCCAGCTTTGTGTCTTTTTTCCATTCTAGCTAAAGTCCGGGACAAACTGCGTCTCTTCTCAGCTCAATACGAAACGTGTAATATTTTCTCTGAATGAGGGACCATTCCATTTTTTAAGGAGCCGTTGGCAACTCTACTAACCTTATGAATAAAATAAAGTTCACTATCAGTAACATCATAGCACCCACCCAGCTGTATAAAAACTCCGTCAAACTGGCTAGAACGCAGTATGAGTTATTGCAACTGACAGTAAAAAGTCAGCAACATGAAAATAAACTCCACCTAAACTTGGTTTATATCTGACCCAGATAGACTGCAGCTCATAACTTCTTACCTGAAGTTCAGTTCACCTGACACTCGGACTGGCGGCTGCTTCGGGTCTCTCCTCCTGCCTCCCCTTCCCTCATCCACCTGTTGCCTCTGTGGAAGCCCCGTCATAGCCACCACCAAACAACGGAGTTATTTCTACACATCGACCTGCATCTGGCCAATCCACCACCTCTCATTGTTCATGCCATTACAAAAAAAATAAAAAATAAGTCACTGGGGATATGCCCGGTATGCCCGATGGCCAGTCCAGCTATGTTAACCTGCAACCAAATTTGCAGCTCCATACAGCAATGTTACGACTTAGATTATATCTTATAACTCATAACTCTTATGTTAGCTGCCCTCAGTAGCATACTGTCTGAAATATTCCACGGCTGTAATAATTCTTTAAGTGTTATTTTTTCCTTGGTATTCTAATTTCACCGAAGTTTACTAAACTCAACAAACTTAATATTACTTACCGGGACATTTATTCTGTCCTCATTTTCTTTCACCGAAAAATTGTTTCCTGCAGTGCCGTCTTTCGCGCTTGGCTCTCCTACCTTTGCTAACGTGATGCGCATAGCGCAGAAGCGATGCTGCATTCACTTACACTCGGATATCTGAGCGTCACCGTGAAAACATAATCGGACATTTGATATTTGATTGAATTTTATTGTTTTGCCTTTGGGGTGGCACCTGGGGTGGCCAGTCTGGTTTGGGGGGTGGCCTGTGCCCCCCCAGGCCACCCCGCTGGACACGCCATTGCCTAGAAATGGGCCAAAATTTGCACTAAAATCTAAATATTTAAAAAACTATAACAGTCATAAACACCAAAAATCATAGCATACTAGTCCAGACCCAGCCGCACAAAAGGAAAAAGGAAAATAATAATAATAATAAATCCGACGAATAGTAATAAGTGTGCCTTTTGGCATAGGCACACTTAATAAATACACTGAATTAAAGAGGATTCATTGAATTAAATGTGTGAAGATGAGCTCTGCAGCTCTGTTTAGTTTCCTTGTTTCCTAACTAAGCGGGTCATTAACCTTGTTTAGTTTATCTGGTTAAAAGCAGCTTACAGGTCAGCAGGATGGACTCTGACGCGGCTGCAGACTAAAAACAGCTCGTCCACCAGGTCAGGTCATCCAAGTGGGACAAAATAACACTGCTGCTGACAGGAAACACCGAACACCTTCTGTTAGACAGCATGATGCTGCAGTGTCTTTAATCCATAATCCAACTTTTCAGGATGCTACTGCTCATATTTTATAAAAAATGTTTTATTTTTAGATAAATTCTAACACACACAGACAGCTGGATAGCATAGTAGTAGTATGACTACATGCCTTGGGAGCGGGAGTTACAAGTCTAATTCCCACCTGAGGCATCTGTATCCAGTAAGGGTCCCCCCATGCTAAGCAAGCCTACTGCAGAGAGATAACTATGAAGTCATAATGGATCAACAAGGTCCGCATCAGGTGTTGAGGAACCAGGGCACCCTGATGAGAACTGAGCTGTAGGTGCTTTTATGGCTAGAGACTACAACACACATGTTACGGCAAGGGGTCAGGGGGAGATATCATCACCCCCACCCCACCCGAGATTGGGTCCCTGATGGAAGAAGGATTGTTTAGTGTGTGAAGCTTGAAAGCTGGATCCTCCAGTAGCCGGTGACCAAGACTACATGAAGTACCCTCAGAAGCTCTACTAGATGATGTGAATGCAGCACTACAGACGATACCTGCCGAGACTAACCACCATCAGCATGGAGAGGGAGACTGGAGATGCTACCAGGCAGGGCGTATATGGAATGCCATAACCAAGTGGCTGGCATAGTATACAGAAACATCTGTGCTGAGTATGGGTTGAAAGTACTGAAGTCAAAATGCGAGACACCCCAGGGTGGTGGAGAATGACTGAGCTAAGATCCTGTGGGACTTCCAGATACAGACGGACAAAATGGTGGTGGCTAACCAACCGGACACAGTGGTGGTGGAGAAGCAGAAGATACACGGCCATACTGATAGCGAATGACAGCAACATCAAAACCAAGGAACACGAGAAGCTAGAAAAGTACCAAGGGCTCAGAGAAGATGTGGAGGGGAAGGTCCCAGTGGTAACTGGTGCACTAAATGCAGTGCAGCTAGGTGAGTGGCTCCAGCAGATCCCAGGAACTACATCTGAGATCTCTGTCTAGAAGAGCGCAATCCTAGGAACAGCTAAGATACTGCAGCAGGACCTCCAGGCCTCTGGTAGAGCACCCGAGCTTGAAGGATAGACCGCCCGCAGCACACACGTTTGCTGCAGTGTTTCAACACTTCCAGGTTTAACTCTTTTATATGGAAAAGCATGAAATGTGCAGATGTTTTCTCATTTAAGCTAAATACTATCAGATACACAACATGTATTATATCCCGTATTACATACAGTATTATCACACTGTGCTTGGTTGTCTGTCAAGGGTAGAAAGCAAGGAGCATTTAATCAAGTTAAATCCTGTCAATGCCCGTGTGTGTGTGTGCGTACCTCTCCTTGTGGTTCCACTCCTAGTGTGTATCCTGGAAAATCTTCCCACAGGAGAAGAGTTTCTTCAGTTTCCTCCCAGGCCAGACTGTCACAGTCATCCTCAAACTCACACTCCCTCCTACACACACACACACACACACACACACACACACACACGCTGTTTAAGCATCATTTCTGTAAGTTTCAGACGTTAAATAAAGAACAAAAAACACCTACAGCTGGTTCAGCATCTTCTGCATCTGCTCATTAATCTGATTGGCCGACGTGCTGCATGAATCCTCGCTTTTGGCCCCACCTCCCTCGCTCTCCGACACGCTGAGCTCGTCTCCGTCCCCGCCCTTCAATGACTGCCCGCTGTGTTTTCTGACCCGGCGGCTCAAAGTGGAGGGCGGCGTGGGCACCTGCTGCGTGGAGACGGGTTGGTTTGAAAGTTGCAGCAGACTGTGGTTCAGGACATTTTGTGGCCGTGGATCTACCTGGAAGATGTGATTCATGTCCTCGCAGTTCCTCTGCTGGGCAACGTCACAGAGGCGGGCGGTGATGTCAATCCGGCGGCAGATATCCATGTCCACCTTCATGGCCTTTTCCTGGATTTTAGTGTCCAGATCTGACAGGTTCTGACCCAAAGACAGAAAAGTTTTCATTTTAGTCATATTTCCTCTTGTTCTGGTAAATAAACACAAAGCTAACAATATCATGTTTTTTCTGTGTATTTTTTCTCTGTCTATAAAAGGGAAAAAAGAGCATTTCACCATTTAAAAAAAAAACCTTTGTCAGGATATGGACCAATCGAGCTTATGTGCACAGTCCCAGGCCGACACATGTAATTAGATGTAATTAATGCCTAAAAACTAAATGGATGAAGTTGTGACTCATTTCTTTTTATAAAGCTGTAGCAGACTCACGTTGCTGACGAGTCCTTTGAAGAGAACGAGCTCCTCTTTCAGCCGCTTCACCCTCAGAGCCAGCTCGTCCTGACACACCTCGCTCTCCTGCAGGTCCTACGAACACAAACATCTGTGGGTCAGATCAATCAGCTCTGCACAGGTATGCAAGTGTAAGACATCCGTGAGGTCTTTATGTCCACACGTGATGTTTTCTTCAACCTCAATCAAAAACTTGAAATGTTTTTTCAGCTCATCTCAATCCCATCCCATTCCTGGTGCTTTTTCTTGGACCCATAAGTTTTAAACCCACATTTCCTCCTATCTCCTTGTTCTCCTCTTTTTATTTAAAGTTTGAGCAGGTTATATGTTCTGTGAATGCAAACTCTAAGCACTAAAAATATCTGTATATCTGATGAAGTGTTAGAACATTTAAAACATCTGAGGTTACATATCTAAGAACTTTTTAAGGATTTGTAAAAACCCTGGAACAGCTGTTTTCTCTGCTCTGTGCATTTTCAAAACAGAAATAGAAATAGTGGTCCAGCTTGATGCTGTATTTCCAACTCACACAGCCCAGGCCCCGCTCTCAAGCTGCTCACTAATATTAGGTGTGCTCCAGGTAAACTGAACTATCCCCAACTGAGAGGACAAAGTTTACCGAAGGACACACGTCTTACTTTAAGGATCAGAGAGAAGTATGTAAAAACAGTTTTACCAGCTTCATGAAAATGACACGAGCTAAATTTGCACTGATGTGCTGATGCTTCAGCTTCAAAAAGCTGACTATCATCAGACCCGAGTTCATGATGAGAAGCTGACTGTGTCGGTAAAACCAAACACTTTTAAAATGAGAAACATTTAATCTGAACACAAGCTAATATTTTTATGTCAATTTTACCTCCTCGAGTTCAGCCACCTTCTCCTGCAGGTCCATTCTGGCTGTGTACTCTTCCTCCCATCTGCAAACACAAGCAGAGCAGACGTCTCACACAGAGTGAAGCACAGAAACTCTCTGAAGCAGACAAACACGTTTACGTGTGACAAAATAAAATGCAATAACACTAGAAAAAAAAAGTGAGTGCATTCATACTCCACAAAGCATTACCACGGCCATCAGCTGTTTAGTTTAAGCAACACTTTCCTACAGAGTTTAACTCCGCCTACTGTGTCCCACAGTCAGAAGACTGAGCCACCTTAGCTGATGATGAGCAGCTCTACCTGAGCTCCTCGCCTGATCTCTAAGACTGAACTCAGACACTCTTTGGAGAAAACTCATTTGCACTAAACGTCCTCATGAGTAGTACTGAGCACTCAGTCGACAGCTCACTCTCACACTGGGCTCCTTGGTGGCGTTCGCCTGCCCCTGATCGCAGTCTCTCATCTCCTGACTCAACTTACTCCACCTCCACCACCTTCAACTGCAGCTGGTGACTTCTTTGGGAAATACAGTTTGATTTTGTGTGTGTGTTAGCTGACGTCACAATAATTAGTCTGTCAGGTTACCGTGGAGATTTTTTCAGATGGATTGAAACAGGCGATGAATTTTCGCTTCTTTATCTTCATGTCTGCAGCTTTAAGGCAAAAACCTTCATGATCACCTGACACAGACCCACACTGTGCAGCATCATGGCCCCTCCCAGCTCCACCGCTGTCATTACTCAGCATGTGTTACATAAGGAGAATCCAAGAAGTGTGCATTTGGAGCATGAAGGCATGAAGAGCACGCTGCAGTCACTACAAACAGAGAGCAGGACGACCGGCTCATATCTGGTTCCTGTGTTGTGGTGCGATGCCTCTTCTGCCTCATATAAATACGACCTCAGGATGATATTAAAAGAAAAATGGTTTGTCTTACTATTAGCACCACCATGTAATAAAGTGAGACAAAATCCGATTATATTCAATAATATATATTTTTTTTCTGTTTTTTTTTTTCTTTCTTTCTTTCTTTTTTTGCCTGTCCCGTTTGGCTCTTTTGCATCAGAATTATTGTCTAAAGGCGAAGAAAGATGCCCAACAGATTTACTTTACCAAATTGACCATCCCAGCCTTGCCGTAATGGTCTATTTGATTCACCTTTTATTGTTTATTTTATTTATTTTTTTATTTTCACTTGCTAGATACGGGACAGACTTGAATGAGGAAAAGAAAAGGAAGAGGGGAAAAAACATCAGAGAAGAGGGACGGGGATAAAGGGCAAAGAAACAAAAACCAACTAAATAAGCAGACAAAAAAATAAATAAATAAATAAAATAAAAAATATACATATATCAATCACCTGGATCATCTGTTGAGAAAGAAAAAAGAAAACAAGCAGAAGAAAATGAGAGCAATACAATAAACAACATCACGATGATCTATGTGAATATAACAGGAAATACTAAATATTAAACATTATTGTGCAGCACATAAGATCGACAGCGCACAGTGTGCTTTGAGGTAGGAGCCAAAAAGGGTGTAGTTTGTGTGTGTGAGCACCTGTGTGTACACCTGTGAGCATGGACGCGCTTGTTTTTAAAAGGTTCCTTCACGTAATGATCTGCTAGAGGGTATATTCAATAATATTCAACCATCTCTCCTGATACGACACTAAAGCTTAATGTATAGTATTGATCGGATGTCTTTGCACTCATTCCTCACATATGTAAAGTAACATGAGATCAGAGGAAGCTTCTGAAGACCTCAAAAATAACTGTGACAAGAAACCCTTCTGGATGTGGACCGATCAGTGGATTAGATAAAGCTGATATACGATAGCAGGACATATGGTCTAATCTGTTTTAGATCATGAAAGTTTAAACTGGGGTAAAATCTCTGCAGTCACATGTATCACATGACTTCCTGAACAGCTGATCAAGAGAACACACCATCAGTGCAACACAAAGTCAGTTAAACTCCAGGGTTATTATTCTGCACTGTCAGGAAGCATAAACCATTGTGAGTCCATTCGATCTGCTTTGGTGCCAATGACAATGACAACAGGTGCTCTGGAGAGGCACCAACAAGCCAACTCAAAGCCTGAATGTTAACTATGAAGCAGCTGGTGTGTTTCAGCTGCAACGACACGAGTCAGTGTGACAGAGATGCTCAGATATGAAAACCAGAGAGAGCGAGCTGCTGTCCTCGCTCTCGTCTGTTTGCCAGTCCTAACACGCAGCTCTGCAGTGAGGCTGCTGGTGGTCGGTGTGTTTGACTGATTAAAGACACAGCAGCCGGTGTACCTGCGCTGACGTCCTAACTGCTGGGTGATGCAGACGCTTCGTAAACAGTTTACCGTTTACTTTTTAAGAATGAGCCCAGGCCACTGCGCTGCACTCAGATGTGACGTCAAAGAATTTGAAAAGCCCTCTGCAGTAACGACGCAGCTCGTTTGATCAAACCACCTGAAACCGACTTGTTCTCAGAGCGAGCCAATATCGACTGAAAGGCTCAGAACCATTTAATACTGATTTCCTTTAAGTGAGACTGTGATCTTTATCTCCAATGAGGTTTTAGCTGCCGACCTTCATCAGAGCTGGGCAATACTGTGAATGTGAATTTCACCATCCTCACACTGAAGTTACATCTGCAGAGGTCGTTGTTCTGTCCTTAGAGAGAGCATCAGTGACACACGGGCAGAAAACACCTCAGTAAACAGCAAACTGCAGCTCTGTCATTTATTTATAGATGCAGAAGCCAAAAAGTAAAATCACCATGGCTGCAGCATCACACAGCAAAGCTGCTAAATATTAATCAAGGTGAACGGCACCTGGAGCAAAATCAAGCTCACCAACAAAGTGATTTTAAAACTGTTCCAATTTCAAAGAGACAAAGAGAAAAATGAGAAGTTACACAAAGCTTGTGACAAAAAAAAAAAAAAAAAAAAAATCACAAAAACATCCTTGTCAAAAGTGGCAAACATCGGATTTACTCTGACCACCTTAAACATGCTGACATCTAAAAACTAAAAACTATGCTAAACTGACCTACAGCCTGTGGAAAAGCAAACTGCTCGACCTACAATCTCCTGACCTCTTTTTACCATCTCATCATCACACAGTGGATCTCCTTATAAAGTGTGACAACACCTACAACAGGTTCACAAAAACCTAAAAAAACTACCTAGTACACATTTAAATGAGCAACTTTTCCTGAAAAAACGGGACGTTTGCACCTCACATACAGTTATAAACTCATCAGCACCCTCTTTAGTTCAGCTCTAATCAGCCAATGCATTTGGGCATGCAGACATTATCAAGACGATGCCCTGAATTTCAAAGGAAAAAGCAGTATAAGGAGGAAAGGTGATTTAAGTGACTTGGAACGTGGCATCGCTGTCGGTGCCAGTTGGTCTGAGTATTTTAGAAACGGCTGACCCACTGGGAATTTCCCACTACGGTTTATAAACCGTTGAGGAATATTTCAAGCACCTTGTTGAATCTATGCCATGAAAACGAAGGCAAAACAGGGTCCAACCCAGTACTAGGAAAGGTACCAGTATACCTAATAAAGTGACCAGTGAGTGCAACTTATAACAGTTAAAGGGAGATAAACAGTGACACACACTCTTCCTTAAATCTTTCCCCTTTAAAGATGCATGTGACGACCTTCCTGTACCTTTAATGATGAGGTTCTGACACGTCAACAAAGACGTGATTTGACGGCCATGAGAACAGTATGTGCACAATGATGGCTGCGCAGGCAGCGTCCACCCTGAAAAAGTTTGAATGCACATCCAGTCATGTTGTTCAATAAGCAGGCTGAAATAAACAGAAACTGCTTAGAGCAGAAAACTGCTTCAAGGGTTAAACCTAACAGGCTCTCAAGGAGTAAAGAGTGAAGACATGACACTATCAGGAAACCTGCGTCTGTATGCAAGGTGATGCTATCTCGCTCTCCTCCAGCACACAAAAAAGTATGAGTCACTGACATTTGCTGCTCTCTGTTACAGAGTGAGCGATTAATGCCAGAGGAGATAACACAACAGTGTCAGTGTGTATTTATGTGCAATATGTGGCTGAAAATCTGCAGATGTTTGATCTGGTCTGACCAGTGAAAGCACATCAGCTCACATCATCTCAGTAACGCTGTTTGGGAGAAAAACCTCCCAACCCGGTGTCAAATAAACTGCCCTCATATGCAGCCTCTATAATGTCACCAGTGCTTCTGGACCGCACGTTTTAAAGACTCAAGACTGCCATTTGGGTTACCACCATGTTGGATTTCGTTTGTTGGAGCCAGAGATTGGGACACGATGGTGGAGTGCTAAAGCATGATTTGCCAGCTCCATTCATAAACTGTACAGCTGCATTCATAGACTTCCTGTTTGAACTTCACTCTTGCAGTCAGCCTCAAGTGGACAGTAGAGGAAGTGCAGTTATTGGCACTTGCACACAGTCAGCTTTATTGTTTTAACCCTTAGAGTTTACTCAACATCTGATTGGATAACTTCCCAGATACGGGGAGTAGAATTAATGCTGTGCTTATTAAATGGCACGCTCAGCCATCCATACGTGTCTGCATACTTTTAACTTCTATTAATCATTATTAATGTTTGCAAAAAGCAGAACGTCGGAGAAAGAAACCCGAGCATTTTGCAGCTGTGTAGTTTGGAGACGAGCTAATGATGACGACAAAGATGTTGATGTCAGCGCCTCTCTGACGCTGCAGAAGCTCGCCTCGGACACACTGGGTGGGGAGGTGGGGAGTGCAGAGAGGGATGAGGAGTCAGCGAGGACAGAGAGACTCAAAGAGGAAGACCGGGCAGAGTGAGAGCATTTAGAAATGGAGAAATGTAATAAGATGCCAGACGCTGAGAGGGAAGCAGAGGGTAAAAAGATAAAATGGAGAGAAGGAAGAGAGGGAGGTGTCAGGTGGGGTGACATCACTGCTGGCAGTCACAGGCCGGTGCTGCATTGCAGGTACCAAAACAAGACCCGGCAGGGAGGAGGAGGAGGAGGAGGAGGAGGGATAGAAAAAAAAGGATCAAACAGGAGGAGGAAAGAAAGAAAGGAGGGGATGACTCATGAGAGAGAAAAACAACAGCTCATCTTCAACTTGTCCCCAGACAGCGTGTCCCTGCAGACACACATGAAGCTGAACGTGTCACATGAAAGGGAAACTGAAGACCTTTATCCTCACTGGAAAGAAAATCAGTCAGCTCAGGAAGAATATTGTTATGTATTTGTAATTTTGCTTTTTGAGTGAATTTTGGTGTTTCTATGCTCAACCCATGTAACTGCGACACAGTTTTGCCAGCAAGGAAATAAATAAAAGAAAGACTTTCACATTTGTCCGTCAGAGCTGCATCGATTCAGGCTTTTAAAGGGCTCTCCATGGTAGATAATTAAACTTGCAAAGAACATTTGTAAAATAATATATAAAAACCCTCGTTAGCTCCCTGCACACAAATAAAAGTCCTGATTAGGAGGATGGAAGGGTTTGGGATTTTGTTTCTCTTTGATTGATTTACTTTTGCTTTTCCTTACTGGCGAGGCTCCGGTACCAAAAGCTATCAGGTTAGGTTACATCTTTGACAATGAGGTTTTTAGTTCTGAACACCAAAATCTACTCGCTAAATTTAAACAGCTAACCGTGGTTTGGGTTAAATTATTCCCCTTTGCAACGTTAACCCAGCACACTGAAAAATGTTGCATTTAAGTTCCACTGCACTTAAATGTGGCAACAAAGTGTCTTTTCAAGTATCTCAGGAGTGGCAGTCCCACATTAATACCCAAACCAAGCACGTCGTGTTTAATATGTCTATAAACCATTAATGTCAGATTTTTGTTGATGAACTTGCTGCTTTCTGAGTTTCACTTTCATTTACTTCATTAAACGTTTGAGCTCTCACCTAACCTTTTACTTTATTGTGCTCCAGAGTAGCGAATGCTTAAGGACACCGGAGTAATCATCTATCCTGTCATGACAAAATGACTGAAAACATGTTAAAATGATTCAAACTGGTGCCCGCAAATTTTTAAATCGTTTCTATCTGCACGTCACTCTCAAAGGTCTTAAAAAGACAAGAATTTAATGTAATTTAGTGCAGTGCAAAAACTAAAAGCTCAGCAGTATCTGAACATCACAGGTCAGGGAGTCACTGCTGTTGAGTGAAATCAATGTGACTGAAGGTCTGTCATGCCGAGGCCTCCTGCCTCAGCAGGCTGATGCACAAAGCAGTGAGGTCAGTGCTTTTTCAGCATAAAGCAGCGGTGCAAAATAGTGTTTCAATGTCTTTAAGAGGGGAACAGGTCAGCAGTGAAACTGTTTTTTTCTGCGAGCTGTACAACAAATCTACTGCCTAAAAGAAACCACGACTGCAGAAGATTAGCAAAAACGCAGGTAGCGTTGAAGCACCCTGCTCTGCACCAACTACATATTTCCCCAGGGTAATGAAAAATAAGATGTCGTAAAATTACATGTAAATTGTGATAAAGCTCATAAAAAGATCCAAGTAGTCCTCAAAATAAAGCAGTGACTGGCACCAGAGTTCACTGATTAATCCAGAGAAATAAACAGCTGACAAATGAAGGCAAAGCACTTTCAGATTTTATGACTCAAACAGTGTTTCTGCGGCGTTTTGCAGCACTTTTAAAAAGCGACCGACTAAAAACATCCTGTAAAGCAGCCCTGCTCATTGATCAGCAGCATCGCCCTCGCTGACCCCGTACAGCCAGAGACATTAATGGCAGCGCCCATCCTCGCAGGGTGACTTATGACTGCACTTAAATATAATAACTATCAGGTTTCATGTTTTTCTGACCAATCAATCACTGCAGAGAGGAACAGGAGCCAGCTTGGTGATCGGGTCGGCCATTTTCTTACTCAGCTGTACCTTTTCACTATTTTTCATCTAAGATATCAGTGGTGCTTTTATCTGTATTTGGAAACCAATACTTAGCTTTGTTTAGTAGTAGAAATGTAATCAGTTTTACATCGATGATGAGTTTCTTTTCCTCCTAACAAAAGGGCTTCAAATGATGTCTTATTTACTTTGAATTAAAGATGAGCAGCATTGGTGTTTTCTTGGTATCAGAGGGCAGGTGCTGCTGCTGCGGCCCGTCATCAATATTTTGTGGTTTCAGGTCGATATGATTCTGAGAAAAGGAGTCAGATGACCCTGAAACACTCAGAGTGATGCTTTCATCTTTTACTACATCCTTCTGTTTTTTTACCCTCAGCTAAACAGACAAAAACTATCAGGAATTTCTCAACTTTCAATAAACCGTATGTTATCTTATACTTTGTTGTGTTTCTGTTTTAATATGGAAATCTCACATCAAGTGACAGTAAATCATATCATCAAAAGCATTTGGAAATCTCCGTGCACAATGGGCAAAGCTTAAAATGTGGACTGGATGCTGGATCTTTGGGTCATTGAGTGGCACTGCGTTAAAAGCAGACATTAATTCTGTGATGGAAATCACAGCAGGGGCTCAGGTACACTCCCAGAAATCACTACCTGTGAGCACAGTTCAATCTGGGTTAAATCTCTGTCATGTACAGAGAAAGACACATCCAGAAACACTGCTGCCGTCTTTGGGTCAAAGCTCATTTAACATGGACTGAAGTAAAGCAAAACAATCCAAACGTGGAATTCTATTTGGAAAGCATGGATGCTGTGTCTGCAAACTAAAGACAAGAGAGACCATCCAGCCTGGCACTCAGAATCTTTGTCTGCATCTCTGACAGTATGGGGGTGCATTAGTGCCGATAAGGCACTGGCAGCTTGCCCCTTTGGAAAGGCACCATCGATGCTGAAAGGTATATACAGGTTTTAGAGTAACATGTGCCCCTATTCATTTTTCCCCAGGGAAGGTCTTGGATATTTCAGGAAGACAATACTAAATCTGCATTAAATACAACAGCATGGCTCTGCGGTAAAAAAGCCCGAGGTTGAACGACCTTCACCAATGAAAACATGTGGACAATCATAAAATGGAAAATAGGATAAAGACGACCCAGGACTGTTGAGCAGCTAGAATCCTGTGACAAGAACAGGACAGCATTCCTCTCCAAACCGTCCAGCAGCTGGTCTCCTCAGTTCACAGACAGCAGAGGGGTAAACACAACCCTCCCTGAACGTTTTTGAGACGTTGTGCTGCCATCAAATTCAAAATGATCTAATATTTTTCTTGATATGCTAAATTTTCTCAGTTTAAACCTTTGATATTTTTCTCCATTCATGTGTGTTTTTGATATCTGCAAAGCACTGTTTTTATTTACATTTTACACAGTGTCATTTTTTAGAAACTGTGGTTGTAGAAACTGAGTCACCTTTTACTGAATGCTGAATATCAGTGAGTGCATTTGTCAGTGAAGAAAGACACACATGAACCACAGCAACATGAAAAAGAAAAAAGTTGATTTAAATCACATCTGAAAACATATTTTTATAAACTAGTTCTTTGTTCATATTGTGTCTTCTGGGCTTTTTGTTGTTTTACTAACTGCCTGATGTTATTGCAATGTTTGATATCTTTTATTTGTTAAGGAAAATGTGTATTTTGCATTCCTATTTTCTTGTTATTTTCACTCAGCTTCACTGTAAGTTTGTTCTTTCACTGTAGCTCTTGGGTGTAGACCTACTGAAACTGAAACTTGCACCACGCACTGACATGGAGCCAAAGGTTTGAGGTTTTGAAGCAAACTGCAACTTTCATTATTACGCTGCTATTTCTGGGAATATCACTTTTGATGGTTTGAAGTACTTTGTAAACTCAGCTTCAAAGGTGCTGCATAAATAATTTCTATTACCTGAATCACTGCTTCTTTTGTGTGACCAAATTGCGTTATTATTTTATACAAATCTGTTGCTGCAATTGTAAATTTAAAGCAAATTGTTATTTTTCTTTAATTTTATTAAGATTAAAAAATACATTAAAAAATGAGCTATTGTTTTATAACACAGTTTTATTTATTTTTTATTATTTTGTGAATTACAGCTATTATTTAACTAAGAGTTCAACAGAACCACTGACCCCATGGCCAAGGTCTATTAGACAAGTATAATAGAGAAGTTGATCTGCAGTTGCTGGCCCAACTGGACTGTTTGGAACCTGACGATATGCTCAGTGATGCAGAAGAAATCTCTGAATGTCTAAGCAGCCGAATCCTTAATCTCCAAGACAAAAATCAGACCCATGATGTCATAAACCACCTGTAATCAGCCACCTGTGCACGCACACTCACGCGAGCACACACACACACACACACACACACACCATGGTGAAAACTCCACATCACAGGTAAAGCATCTTATCACCCAGCGCCCCTTACCTCCTTTTATATTCATCCCTTTCTCTCTTCACTTTAGCCAGCACGTTGTACAGAGCCCTGATCTCCGGCGTGATGGTGTCGATCTGGACTCCAACGCCGTCCGGGTGCGTCCAGGAGACCCCGGGCCCCGTGACGCACGACTCCCTCCCGGTGCCAAAGCGGCGGGTGTGGTTGAAAGACCAGATCGTCCCGGGGAGGAAGCGAGGTGGCGGAGGAGGGGGAGGTGGGGGAGCGTTGGAGGTGTTTGTCCCGGTGTGGGTGGAGTACTTCTCGTTGATGTTGGTGATGGTTTTGGTTGGGTCCATGGGACTCAGAGCCGGGCTGATGGAGAAGCCGGAGGTGGTGAGGTTGGAGTTTGAATCCGTGCTCAGGTATTTGTTGTCAAACAGAGGAGGGGGGTTCAAGGTGGGGGAAAGGAGGCCTCCGGGCAGGTAGGCAGAATTGTTGGCGTTGAGGAGCGGGATGAAACCCGGCCTTGGAGGGATAGGCCCGATGAATCCGGTCTGGACTCCTATGTCTTTGGTGAGGGGCTTCTGGTGTCCATCGCCCCCGCTGTTGCCCTCCAAAGCCTGCTGCAGCTGCTTCTCCAGCACCTTGTTCCTGCGCTCCAGCTCGTGCACTTTGGCCAGAAAGCAGCGGAAGCGCAGGTTCAGGGTCTTCAGCACGCTGATGTTGGAGCCCAGGTCGTTGCGCAGAGCCGTGGCCGCCGGGGGGACGCGGTGCAAGGGGCTGCTCAGGTGCAGGTAGGCGAGGCCCGACGGTGGCAGAGCGCCCAGGTCCAGCCCGGACAACCCATCAAGCCCGAACCTGCCGTGGTCCCCCAGGAAGTAGCCCGGGTCTGGGATGGCGGAATCTGTTTGGCTCGGCATTTGGGGATGTTGCTGCTGCGGTGCCAGGAAACCGCTCTCCTCCAGGACCGGATTCATACTAGAGTAGGAAAATCTGAAGTGCTCGAAATCCGGCATGAACCCAGACTTTTATAGATTCACTCGGAGAGGCAATTTAATATATTTATGATCCCAAAGTGGAACTTGGCCCAGCAGCCTCTTCTCGATTACACCCGATGACCCTCTTTATGCGGAGGAGCTGTGCGCTGAAAGTCAGAGGATGCGTTTTAAAATGATGCTTTAAGGGCCCAAAATGGCAGCAAAATGATCAAATCCAAAACGAGCACTGCAGTAAAGCTGTGCGCGCACAATGGAGCATAAAACTCGTAAAAGCAGATACACCACTGCACCCTGCAGCAGAATTACGGTAAACTTTTAGGCAGGACTAATTTCTAAAGCGAGATAGAGCCGCGATGCGCACTACCAAAACGTGATTTCTCTTAATTCAAGCACTGGAGGGGGAAAAAAAAAAAGAAAAAAAACCCCATCACGCTAAATAAATATTACTTTGCCTTTATGAACATTTATGCAACGTACCTACAGTCCGAGGTGTAAACGCCGACTGTGGCTCCAGGTAATCAGGCGAAGTCAGTGAATCAGCGGTGCGACACAGACCAGGAATAAACAAGCGAGTGACTGCGGCTGCAGCTTACCGTACTCATTCTGAAAGCAGGACACCAAGACGTTTCAACTACAGTAATAACCGGACTAAAGGAGAATCTACTTAAACGTAAATGAAAGCATTTTGGTATAAATACCAACAACCGAAGTTTAGAGCTCCTCAATTAGCCAAAATTCCTTTAAAATAGTTTAACAAGCACACAAATCTGAGAGAAAGCTAGCGCCAATCTGCGCACTTGTTTACAGAGATGACACTTATAGAAACTAGACAGTTTGAACAACTCCAGATGCATTAACGACCTTCCAGCAGTCAGACTACAAATGCATTTCAACTTTATGCAAAACCACTTTGGTGACATGGAGAAAACTAAGCACATTATAGAGCCAGCTCACGTTCAGTTACAACCAGCGTTTGTCAACTACACTCATTACACATGTCAGGTGTTTCCATAGTCACAAAAGTGACTTTTACAGACTAGATGTCATTGAAGGGCTGGATTTGTATGAAGAAGCCAGTCTGGACAGGTCTAATGCTACACCTGTCCATTCTAAACTATATACAATTTAAATTGCATATCACAATGTGCTTTAAATGCCTTATACCAGGGTTAATGCTGAAAGCTCTTACACCGAATGTAAACATGATCTGAAGGCTTCAAATATCCATGAAGTTTGCATAGGCAGCAAAGTTTCTCCCTGCTTCGTTTTTCCTTTTGGAAAAGAAACTACACATTTCTCATGAATTGTGTTCTTTATTTTCAAGTGCAAAGGAGCCACAAGATTAGTAACAATACTGCAAAGAATCTGTACAAACATCACTTCTGACAGAACAGGGGACAAGCTTATTTTAAGCAGGACAATACATTTTCTCTCCCCATTGGTCAGGTTATTCAGTTTGTCCTTTCTGCAGATGCTGTGACATCCAGGTGAAGGAATGATGAATCAGGATTTCACTCCTTAGAGAACATGTGCACGAGCAGGTCACACACACGGTTGCTGTAGCCAAACTCATTATCGTACCTGCAGGTACAAAAATGAGAGCAGAAGGTTCAACAGTGGAAACGTGAATGAAGATGGGAAAGCTGCAGGGTTTAGTGCATAATGGCTAACTGTTTAAATCACAGAAGTTTGTCTTCTTGGGGCACTAGGTGTAAACTCGGTGACTAGGAATACCAGTCTATTACATTTTTACTCATTTCATACTACATGAGATTCAGATTTCCATTTGTAGTAATCAATTCATTTAAATGCAGCAAACAAGCTTTGGTCAACTGAGTTTAATAAATGCAGTTTCATACTAGAGACATGTTCATCGAGTCTCACCATGAAACCAGCTTGACAAAGTTGTCGTTGAGTGCAATGCCAGCTCCAGCGTCAAAGATTGACGAGTGAGGGTCACTGTTGAAGTCTGTGGACACAACCTGAACAGAAAGAGTGCAAGTGTAGTTCTGTTAGTGTGCCAGTCCTCGAGCACATCTGTAAAGCTAGTTAGACAAATGCTGCCACCTAGTGACTCCTGTGTGGCCACACAAGTGGCACAGTCTCATTCTCCCCTTTTAAGAGTATAATGTAGCCTGGTGTTTCAGATGCGGGTGTTTTGTACCTGGTCCTCTGTGTATCCCAGAATTCCCTTCATGGGTCCCTCAGCAGCAGCTTTGATCGTTTTCTTTATGTCTTCATACTTTGCCTGAGATGAGAAATTATAATCCTCAGATTAGACAAATGCAAACTCTAGATAAGGGAACATGAATCAGCTTTATGTCAATTATGAGACGCTTACAGGCTTCTCCAGTCGGACAGTAAGGTCGACGACAGACACGTTGGGGGTGGGCACACGGAAAGCCATACCTGTCAGTTTACTGTAACAAACATTCAAAGCTCAGGGCATTTTGCTGATAGTTTTAGTCATTACACCGTCCTGATCCTTTTCAGGAAGACACATGTGCCATTTTAAAATGGAGAATTAGAGGAAAAGTACCCGTTCAGCTCAGGGATGACCTTGCCAACAGCCTTGGCGGCTCCAGTGGAGGCAGGGATGATGTTCTGGGAGGCACCACGGCCATCTCTCCACATTTTACCAGAGGGCCCGTCAACAGTCTTCTGTGTGGCAGTGACAGCGTGGACTGTGCTCTGAAAGAGCAGGTAAAGGTTATTCAGAGGCAGAATCAGATCGTCCCAACAATGTGAGCTAATCTGAGCAGCTGTCGGACAAGTTAAACAGAATTTCAGAGGCAAGTAGCTTTGTTGATGTTGTAGAGGGACCACATTTACTTGATGCAGCAGAAACACTTTGTGACAAGAGAACTACTGGAAAGCAGGACCCTGATATAGACACCCAGTATCCAAGCTTTCTGATCATGTGATGTTTGTGAAGGGCCATCAGTCTCCAGCATCAGTGACTAAAATTTGGTGAGTCTGCCACAAAGAATGACCCTCCCCAGAATGTCAAACTGAGGAGACTTTGAGCTTTTTATTGGCATTGTGCAGTTTTTGCACAGCGAAATTGGGTAGCTGGACCACAAAGGTGCAAAAGACAAAATACAATGAGGGGGGGGGAAAAAAAAAAAAAAAAAAAAAAAAGTGCAATGTATACGTATGTGAGTACTAGCAACATGTAACTAAATAAAGTTGTTGCTGAACGCATTGTACAGTTTGTTGGCCGACTGCTCTTAAAGTTCCTAAAATCTTCTGGTTATAAGAGATTCACTCAAAAGAAGCAGTATCAGTTCTTTACCATGAGACCTTCCACGATGCCAAAATTGTCGTGTACGACCTTGGCGAGGGGAGCCAGGCAGTTGGTGGTGCAGGAAGCATTGCTACGGAGAAAGCACATGTCAACTTAATGTATGACAGCTTAAGTGCAGAGATGCTACACCAAACAAACTTTAAGAAGCCATCTAGACATCTGCAGCCAGCTGTCCAAACAGCCATTATAGAATCACGCACGCACACACTCACGCACACGCGCACACACGGCATCTGTAAGCACTCAGTACCAACACTCACCTGACAACCGTCAATGAGTTGTTGTATTTTTCGTGGTTGACACCCATTACAAACATTGGTGCATCAGCACTGGGAGCAGAGATCACCACCCTCTTAGCTCCACCCTTCAGATGAGCCTAACAAATCAAAATAGAGCTTAAGACTGATTGTACAATCACTGATGCTTCAGGAAGCTCCAAGATTATGCAAACTAGATTCCAAAAAGATTGCATTAATTTAGAGATACAGGTCAGGATGATGAAAACTGTTCCTTCAACCAAGTTTGTCACTATTGTGACTTCAACATGTGAAACAATCCAGTCATCTTCAGGGTGAAACTGCACTTTAGACAGGTGAGAAAGCACAACAGCAGCCAACTTACAGAAGCCTTCTCAATGGTGGTAAAGACACCAGTGGACTCTACAACATAGTCCACACCAGCATCACCCCACTTGATGTTGGCGGGGTCCCTCCTATGCAGTTCAGAGAAGTTAGTTATTCAATCTGAGGCAAACTTGCTGGACAAAGTGCACATGTGACAGTTACGTACTCTTGGAAGACCATGATGTGCATGTTACCGATGACCAGCTTGCCACCCTCAGTCTTCACCTCTCCGTGCTTCCAAGTGCCGTGAGTGGAGTCGTACTTGAACATGTAGGCCTGCATTAAGAGGTGACCATTAAAAATGCAACAAAACCTGCCATTTAAGAGAAGTCAACATGAGGTCTCTAAAACTTCCTGGTGTCCTTGACAACGCAGTCTTTGCTTAAAATGTTTCATTTAAGAACTTTGCTTTTCCTACATTACTAAACAGAATCAAACAGGCTTGTTAAGTACCATCAATTTATAGAGCAGAAGAAACCCATCCTCTCACCATGTATTCCAGGTCAATGAAGGGATCATTGATGGCTACAACCTCAACCTTACCACCAGCAACAGCAGCACGAGTCACCAAACGACCAATACGTCCAAATCTGAAATGCAGGTCAGACTAAAGAATCAGTACAGATATGAAAGGGAGCAAGAACGACTAGGTTGTTGTGAGACAGTAAGGATGAAATATTTTGTTGAATTCAAACTGAAGACCCTTGTAATGTCTGCATAGTCCAATTAAAATATCAGGTTCCAGGCCCAAGTTTTTAAATTGCAACTATGTCCACTTTATTAATTTCCTGTCTGACCAGCAGGTTTAATCTGAGTCACTGCAGAGGATGGCTTTGCCATGCAAGGCCTGCCAACCTTGACTGAAGATAACAGTGGCTGGCACCAGCAGCTGATAGCCTGTTTAGGCCCAATATGGGCACTGTCAGTGAGGCAGATTGAAGAGTGTGGAACTAAGGAAGCATGAGGGTCGAAAGTTCAGAGCACGTTATAGTAATGGAGATAAAGAGGGTTGTGAAGTAAGAGTTTGAGAGAAATCAAGATATGCTACAAAGACAAGTTTTTAAATCACCCAAACATTTGTCTCTAACTTTTTCATGTTTTGTGACAAGTTGAGTTAGTGCTTCAGAATTGAGTGTGTGGAGGTGTTTGAGTACAACAGTTGCTTGTGGGTTACCCAAACAGATTAGGCCATTCTTGTGAATTGCTGCCTCCAAGTAGATTTGGAGGCATACAAAAAACAAAATGCAACAAAAAAAAAAAAAAAAAAAAAAAAAATTTGTCCAAGATGGCAAAAGGCACAATTTTCCTCATCAAGTTTAAGTTCTGAACAAACTTAAAGTGGGATTTCATATGTGGATGAACCAAAAGCAGACTTTGCCTTGCGACTGCAAGACAAAGCGTGTTTAGTTATAGCCAAGATACAGTTGCCACATAGTTGGAATTTGATTGTATTCATGGCCTTTCAATAATACTGCATTTAGGCTCTATTGTATTTCAGCTTCTATCAGAGCAAACAAGGCTGCTCAATTCAAGATTTCTAAAGATGTGGTGAAACATGTTTCTTCATGTAAACTGATCTGGAAGCAACATGCAACTCTCCTAAAGAAGTTGCTAAAAGCCTGCAGAAGTTAAACGTTGCCATTAT